TTCCTTTCACAAGACAATCATACACACACAATGCTTTACACAAACTAAATCACAGTATGAGGTTTAGGGAGTGGAGTTGTTTGGTTGTGAGAAGAAATCCTGCAACACTGACAGGAATTGAACCCATGACCCTGGGATTGGAAGGCAAGCATCATAACCACTAAGCTATTTAACTCCACTTCTAACAACTTGATAAATTAAATCTGGACTATGTTATTAATATGTACAATTCTTTATGAGTTAAAACATATTACAACATTTACACGTGATATATTCAACAAAATATGTTAAAGTTGATAATGAGAATTGCTGTTTATTGATTTTTTTTGATTGATGTTATTGTATTATTATTGTTTAATTTATAATATTAGTCTTTTTTTTAATAGACACATTGTGATTAATTAATCATGTATTAATCAATAATTAAAACAAGGATTGTCTTCACACGTAGTACGTGATGGTGAATGTTCGTCAGGTCAATGACTCACAATCAGACACGTTCACGTCATTCGTACTTCAACAACCATAGCTTTTGCCGAGTTCTACTGCATGCTTTCAATTGTCTTGCAAAAATGACTATAAGCTCATATCTTTCTCTATATTAGCTTTCAATGACACAATATTCACAGCATCCCGATCAGCCTTGTGTAGAAGTGAGTTAATTCTTAAAGTGAAAAACATTTTGATCGGGCGAAATACAAAAATTAGATTAACAAAAAAGAAATTCAAAAATTCGAAAACCCATTGCCATGCAATATGCTTACTATCAATTTTATTTTTAAAAAAATTACACAGGCAGAGCTCTAGTTTGATAGAGGCCCACCCTTAAATATGAGGTTCCTGGGTTCAAGTCCTACAAGGAGCAGAATTTTATCTAGCCATCCAAGATGATTTGACCAATTGAGTGTTAACCTTTGTCAAAAATAAAAAATACCAGTCTTGATCTAACACTAAATAAGTATGAGCCCGCCTAATTTGAGGCTTTCTACTTAAACCATGAAATGTTTCTTTAGTACACTTTTTTTTTATAAGAACACATTTTATATGAACACTGAGGCTGAAATTGCTTAAAAATTAAGAAGAAAATAAGAACAATTTGAGGCTGAGGTAAAATGTCAAATGAGATTTTAATTTTTAAAAACTAGAAAAACCAAAAAATTATATATGTACCTTATGTGCAGTTAGTGACTATGTAATACTCTCTATAATACAGTACAGAGATATACCTGTCATTTGTGGCCATTTTTTTTAGAGGCCATTTTTTCAGGGACCATTTTTTCCGGGGCCACTTTTACCTACATTCCAATGCAGTGTATACTGCTGTACAATAATAATTTTCTATGTTTGAAAAGTGTATAACATAAGAACATTTTGAGCCTGAAATTGGCCAAAAGATAAGAACACTGAGTCTCAGCAAAATTTTACTGGTTCTTATAAAAAAAAAAAGTGTAGATAATTGATTTCCATCACCTAATTGTGGTGAGTCTGATTTACAAATGACTTGAAGGGCCAACTCAGTATATTAAAAAAATAATAGTCAACTCAATATACTAAAAAAATAATAGTCAACTCAGTATACTAAAAAAAATAATAGTCAGCTCCAGGCCAGTCTCATGCAACATGTATTAAATAGGTTCTTACAGTAGTTAAATATTATCCAATAATTGACAAGAGTTGCAGGTAAGATTCAGCTTACATATTAGGCCATAACAAAATTACTAGTTTCTCGTCCCTGCGTGCATCCATTTCCTATGCCTCACCAGTTTTTGTTTTTTTATTTTACAAAATTTTTACAAAAATTACTCAAATTGTAAAATTCCTCTCTCAATTATTCAGATGTCTACTTGGTAAAAGTGAGAATGTAGTACAGTAGCCATTTCCCATCAAGCATCTTGGATTTGCCATTTCAGAGTTTAATAAAAAGTGCTCTCATTCTTCTTATTTCAAAATATTTGGATGAGAAACTACTTCTTTTTCACTTGGCCTTACAGATCATTTAATCTTTCTTGTTCTTCGTTTTGATCATTGCTTTTCAGTTTATACTCTTTTCATTGATATTTCAGATTTGTTTATAACCTGGTCATAACGTATTTCAAGCTATTAAAGCTATAAACTCAAGATCTATTATGAAATTAATTTCTAAACTAAATTTATTTTGTTTGCCAAGTGGTAGTAAAATACTTCATGTAAACAGTAGTTTCAGATTGGGATGCTGCTTCCTGAATACCTGTAGTCTATTGTATGCTAATTATATGCAGAGAAGCCAAGCAATATGGCCATTTGTCTTCCAGGTGTTACAACTGCTCTTTTAGTGCAGCACATACTGTACTGTATTGTATTTGTAGCTGCAAACCATTGGGTACTAATGAAAAATGTAATTAAAAAGAAAATAAGCACATGATTTGCCATCATTAATAATAATATAATAATTATAATAATTATTACATTATCATTAGCATCATTTAGCATCATTATTATTATCTTTAACATCAACATCATTATCATTATTATCATTAGCGTAATCATCATTATCGTTAGCATCAATCATCATCTTTAGCATCATTATAGTAAGCATCATTATAGTCATCATTTTACCATCATCTTCATTTGTATCATCTTTATCTGCATCATCATTATCTTCATTTGTATCATTATAATCACTAGCATCTTTATCAATGGGAAAATGATATAATCAATACCCTCATCATTTTTACTATCATCATCATCATTACCACCGCCATCACTTTCGTGATTACGATCACAATCATCGTCACCTTCATGATTACTAATTAGGAATGTCCACTACCTGCCACATAATAATCAATCACCTTCATTCCAGTCTACCTTATTGTCTGACTCACTGTCTCAGTATCTGTCTTAACTGGTTCTTAGTCGTTATTGAGTGACCTGTGTCATCCAGCTGTCATAATTATTGCCATCACATTATTCCAATATACTGTTAGTGTACCTCACCTGTTGCAACCGTCATCTTGTCACTAGTTTTCTATCTTTTCGACTCTCAACATATGTATTCGGTACCCCACCTCCTAGTGCCGTAAGGCACATACTGCAAAGGACATCACCTTATAATACTACACCTTGGTCTGGATGCAAAATATCAATTTAAAATCATTTGGAGGGCATTCCGTAGATGGCTTTAAGTAGGTCGGTATTTGTATTCTTTATTCATTAGGCCTATTCATAGTCATTGGCATTGTGTTCTTTCAAAAAAGTGATTTTATGAAATGTATTACTGAATATTTTGTTTAAAAAAAAAGGTGTTTCTAAATAGTTTTATACACTTTTGTTATTTTATGCTTAAATCATTGTCCTTTTTGTATTTCTTGTAATAAGCAACAATTGAGATTATGTTATTTTTATGCTTTATTAGTTTATTTGTATCCTTTCTTTTATTCCTTGTGAATAAAGCACTCTTATTGATTTTGAGGGCCACCAATGTATTATTAAGTACAAATAGTATTTTATTATAATGAGCATGGCTATTTGCTTACATTTCAAATTTTAAACCTTGCATCATCTTGCTTTCTTACTTGCCATTTTATTTATAGATACTTGTTCTCTCTAATCGATCACCTACTGTAAACAAAGGAGTAAATCCAATTTCTATGTTGATAATGTATTTCGCTAGATGTAGAATTATCGTGTCTAGACATGCCCTAACTTAATCGCGCATACAAAGATGATGTTGACCTCTCCATGACATTCAAGGTTTCTCTTTGTTTTTAATTATTCAGTAAATATCAAAAGTGAACCGTTCCTATTAATGTTTTCAAATGGTATTCGTAGAATTGTAGCATTCTACTGTGTACCAGCTACGCTTAGCAGTCTCCACCCAAGAATATGAATAGTGCCTGGTACTGCTAGAAGTGTTTGTTAAATTTATTTGGTTATGCTTTTATAATAATTGACATTATTTTACCAAATGACCTGAATTATGTAAAATGGGAAGTGTTTTGTAAGGCTTGCTTTTGAAAGTACTATAAATGCAAAAAATCTTAAGTCTTAATCATGAAAAGGGTCCAGTTGTGTATGTTAATGGCTTCATTGCTTCAGGCCACATTGCTCGGTTTTTACTCACTGGAGGATAAAGTTGGGCCTGGAGAAACCATTACATGGTAGGGGTGCATGTATCAAATATTGATACAATTATGTATGATCCATTACAGCATACTATTATACAAGCGCTGTCCAAATGACTATAATTTTCTGTGCATGTTACAAATTTAATGTGTGGAGCGAGGGTTTAGGATGAGAAGAATATTGGAGACATAGGAGAGATGTGATTTAAGCTAGTGTTTGGAAGGTGGTAGGTTGTGTAAAAACAGAAAGGGTTAGGCCCTATAAAAAATATTATTAGTGAATCATCCTATCTAGGCTGGAAAAGTGATGAGGAAAGGATCCTTTTTTTATGTTTTATTTTGCTAAAGCCAAATATCACCCTTGGGTTGTTTGCTGGTGCATTGATTTTCAAAGTAAAACATGAATGAGATAATACAAACAGTATCTACTGACTATTTAATTTTTTAAAAATTAAAAAAAAAAAAAAAAAATTTTCAGTACCATTTCATTTTCATTTCATTTCTTTAGGCACAAGCACCAAGGATATGCCAGTCAGTGAGCTTAATCACTATCCTATGTGGCATATCCATTAAATAGAAGACATAATATTTTTTTTATTGGGCCTTATGCTCAAAATCAGTGGTAGGGATACTTCATAATTGATTTTTTTCACACCAGAATAACCATCTGTACCAATTCTGTAATTTCACCTTTCAAATTTTTCACGTTAAAATTTGATAATTAACTTGAGGTCTGGTCACCTGCCGTTTCATACTAATTTTTGGAAAAAACAACAGATGCCAAAACCAGTAGAATCACTACAAGATCAATGTTGCCTTTTGGCTCTTAATTTCTAAATAAATAAAAAATGAAAATTTAATGTAAATAATATATGGATTTTTTTTCTTTTCACATTTTAGAGCATAACCATATTATGAACGATATTGAAGTGGAAATTACAACACGTGTTAAAGGCCTACACAAGAAGAGACGAGGAGGTGGAGGAGGAGAAACGGACAGCAGTGACAACTGGGTTGTCGTAGATGTGCACACCGTACCCATAAAGATGCAGAGCGACAATGAAAGCATATGCCTCACGGATGATGAGACCATATACGAAGAAGACGAGGATGTGTTCCTCCAATCGGAGACATCCGATCAACCAGTTAGCCCCCCTTTAATATCATCACCAATTTGTATACCCTCATCATCACCTACGCATTCCACGCAGTCTGCACCAAGTCCATCACACATACATATTCCCACACAATGTAGGACATATTCAACGCCCGTCCAACGGGCATCGCCTGTACACACTATAACAAACTGGGACATTGGTTCACCCATGTCTTCCGGGTATGGATCAGCTCCACACGGACTATTAACAACCTCAACACAAACTCCGCCGACGAGTCCATCGTTCTATATTAGAACGCATGTTACTATACGAATGAACAATGCTAGTGGATATGGTTACATGGCAAGGCGTAGACTTTTAGCACAAGGTAAGGATTTATTTGCTTTCTAAAATTCTATCCTTAACCCCTATGCTGATTGTTTAGCGAAAGTGAAGCTAATGCTTTTCCATCTTCGGATCCTATTTGCTTCAATCTTTACAAAATTTACCAGATTTTGGCTTAAAATAAGAATGAATGGTTAAACATTGTTTATTCACTAATTTATTTAATAGCTGTATTTAAGTACGACAACAGAAGTAACCTATAGGTATACTGTAGGCAACAAAGCACTATACAAACCATCTCAATTTACCAACAATATTTTGTAATAGCTTCAGGTCACCAAGAATATAAAATCATATTATTTTTAGTTTATTTAATTATAGTAATATTTTGTTTTTACTTAATACAAAGATTGCAAGAATCTCAATTCCGGATCATGATACACATGACAAGGAGATGCTCAATGCAATTCCAATATTTTCCCAGGGTTGCTCAAACGTTTTCCAGGGTGGCCCAATTATCAAAATACTAGTCAATTTTGGGGCTTGTGGGTAATTAGATCTTGACAATTATGTATAAATGCATTAACACATAAATAAAATTAATGTAAAAACTGAAAAAATGAAGTAATTTTAAACAAAAATTGGATAAATTTTTATTCCTATTGATGACTCAATAAAGAGTTAAAATATTGAATCCCAGCATGATGGTGTTTATTTAATTTCTTGGAGTATGTATTATGCTTTAGTTAAGTAATTTTAGTTTTTATGTTTTTATATTAAAATTACTTAATGTAACTTATAAGAAACTGAAAAATTAATTTACCTGGTGAAGTCCCATTGATTATCGTTAGTCAAACAAGTGCTACCTACTCATTTTTTCATTTCTATTCTGAAAATACGGCTTATACTACTTAGGCAAGGCTTTTTTTTATTCCTTATTTCGCATGCTTATTTTTTTTGAAGATCGGAGGAGGGTGGAATAAAAATACAATTTTGTTTTCTTTTTTTTTGCCAAAAACATTCAGACGAAGGACAAAATAAAAATAAAATTTTATTGATGAATGTAAAATAGGATGGTTACATGCTTAAAATTTATATAATTAGGAAAAAATTATAGTACGTATCTTATCTTTGGAGATTCAAGGCAACGGAGGGGGTTTTTGCAAACCGCTTTACATTACTGTACAAAATAAACTTTGGATAAGTAACTGTAGAGTAAGAAAGTAGGTTGTGTAAATACTTATCAGTGACCAAAAACAAAAAGTTTCTGGCAATCAGCACTGGTAATATGTTTAGTAACGGGTTTGTTGTATCAGTGTCATATTAAGAAACAACGTAATAAGCAGTTTATATACATTAATGAGGAATGTTGCATAAAGGATCAATCAACGCTTGTAAACAATTTTTAATGTAATAATTGGCCCTATTTTCACAGTAGAGCATTTTTATTTTATCAATTTCCATAACTGCATTTATTTCTAGTCTCTAATTGAGATATAGGCCTACACAGAATCCAAAGTTATTCACCAATATTTACAATTGATGATATTGTATTCAGAAATTAAATAATCATAAAAATCAATTAAAGCTTGGTCCTCATACAGTACAGGTCTGGTTACTTGATTATTGTCAACTGTGCTCAAGAACTTTGAGTTGACTTGTTGGTTTTTAATTTTTGTCTTTTTTTTTTTAACAAACTGTAGTATATTATTACACTTTTCTAAATGCATAGTCATGCAGCTCTAACTATTATCTAGCTCAGTGTGTATAATAAATGTCAGTTTATCTTTTAGGTATAGCTACAGTATAGTATCTTTTTTTAGTCATAATTTATTAAATACATAATTAAATAGTTTGTGTTTATGGGTGAAGCTTGTAAAAATGAGTTTATACATAATTTAAAAGAAGCAATTAAAGAACTTAAAATTTAGAACTATATAATAGTCACAGCTGTTCCATGCATTAGTAGTATGCTTCTGTACTCATTATTATTATCGTTATTATTAATGTCAACATATTTCACATTATTGTTTCATCAAAGATTGTATCTATGTGGATGGTTTCATAATGGAGTTTATTGAACAATAATCTTTAAATTCATTTTGAACAATCTGCATTTAGCATTTTTGAAAGACCTGGGAATGAATGGTGAAAACTTGTCAGTTGATAAATCAAGTGTCAAGTCTAGACTTGCCTGGTAAAACCTTCACCTTACCAGCATACAAAACCATTACAACTTATAAATGACTGGACCTAGAGCTCAAACATTCCCTCGGGGGTTTTTCATTGTTTTTGGTGATTTATTCCTTTCATTGTTTATATGCAATCATTTTCAATCTTTTATTTGTAGTAAGAGGGGGGTCATGTTTTCATTTTTGCCTTTTGAGAATTTTTATGTAAATTATGTTTTTATCAAATATTGTTAGTTTTTCAGTTCACGCTTAAATTAGACTTGGCAAACTGCCAGTGGTATTGTTTGTGACCCAAGGCTTTATATTTCTCTACTCACAATTGACAATTATCCACCTTATGCAGATTAATCCCAGATTTTAACAATGTTATCCACATTTGCTTAGACCAATTGTCTGTTGTAAAAGAAATGGTTTTTTAAAGGACACTCTAATAATAGCCTACGATAATAACAACTATGACGTTTACAAGAAAAAGATGCTTTATTGACAGATTTTATGCCAATTATGCAGTCTTTAAACTAATTAAACCTAAAACTGTTCAAAAGAACTACAGTATATATTTTGGTTGATTACTTGCTTGATGAATTAATTGCTTGTTTAATTTAATATATGCTATTGCTAATCCAGTAACTGTAACTTCTGAAGATTTAAAAGCTTAAGAAAATCTATTAAACTGACCTAGTTACTACTCGGGGCAGCCTACCTAAAAATTTCAATTCAATGTATGATGAAACACCCTTTATCAAAGAAAATGATATCTTAATAAATACTGCACTTAATATCTCAAATTATACAAAGTGCATTATTACTATACTGGATTAATTGTTTTAATTCAGAATTAAAAGGGATATATTTTCTTTTTTTTAAATTATTATTACTATACTGGAATAATTGTTTTAATTCAGAATTAAAAAGAATATATTTTCCTTTCTCTAAATTTAATAAACACTTAATAAATGAGATTTTACAAGTGCTTTACTCTTTATCAAAGAAAAGTCTGTTTTAATAAATACTGTAATAAATATCTCGGTCTATCAAATTTATAACTTACTGTATTTGACTAATTGATTAATTTTTTATTTAAATTGGAGTCGTTTTTCTCTGATTTACATACATCTTCTAAATAAACCTTGCTATTTCACAAGTACTTTGAACTTACGAGTTAAAACTACTTAATTGTGAAGAGACGTGGAATCTAGACTATTGACAATAACGTTAGTGCATATAGCATCTCTTCGGTCAAGTAGCACTAACATTTATACAAAGGCTAGTCTCTTTGGAACCACATTTACTAAGCCTGCAGCCAAGACAAGATCAAATTTTCGTCTGCTCCGATATTATTAAAACACTTAATAAACTGCAATCTAAATATATTATATGAGTTAGTCCACTGGGCTATATAAATCGACACCTTTATCTTAACCTTTCAACTTGGTTTATTAGAAACCTTGAAAAAATATTAATATATGGTATTAATTAATGACTTACTGTCTGTCATAAAATACTTTACAAAATTTTGATTAAAAAAATTGAATAGCCCACAAATATCAAATAAGCTTCCAGTGAGACAACAATTGAAAAAAGTTCTCGTAACCTCAAAAGCTCAGATGAGGGCAAAAAAATAGTAGAATCAGTAGAGTATATTGGCCCTAAAGGCTGCCCATACAAAAAGATCTATTAATCCATCAGCCGAGTGATTCTAGTGGCGCTGCCGGCTCTCCCCCCCCCCCCAC